TAGGACACTGTTCCAACACTTGGAAGATCTCATTGTGGGGAAAACAGATACAAAAATATTTAATTATGATACAATTTGACCAAACTGTGAAATGATGGCATACCATCCAGAACCAGTCCACAGAATTAGAGAACCTTTAATTTGGGACATGTATTCCATTTAATAAAAATTCCACCAATCCTTTTCTTTTAAAATTAGTCTGATTCATTCATATACGTTACCTACCTGTTCCCTGTAAGCACTTGAATTTGAGATCTTGGTACAGAGATAGAGCTAACAAGTAAACACCACCCACAAGATGCTAAAAGTTGATTTTTAAAACTATTTTTTAAGTGAATCTTAAAGCAAACTGCGTGGTGTGTTAAAGTATTCAGACTTATGCTCCTCTCAGATATGGAAAAAAATGCCTTGCCAGCCACCAAATTGTATGGCAGAGACACTACACAAAATTTAGACCTTCTAAGCAGTAATATCTCAATCTGCTTCCATTTAAATAGTCTTATGAGGATTCACATTCCCTTTTGAACCAGTACTCAGTCTTCTGTCTCCCTTCCCTCTTACCTAGTTCTCTCCAGAAAGTGTTAGGGGTGCTTTCTTGAGTCTAGGATGGTGGGAAGAAAAATGACCTCAGAGTAATTGCTGGTCCAGCTGTAGAGTGGCTGCTTTGTTGGTCCCTGGACTAGTGACTGCAGAAGTACAGCTTGTAGCTGGCCTGTCATGAACTATCCAGGAATAGGCACCACAGCTAGTCCCAGCTTATAGTCATTTGTCCCTGATTCCAACATTTTCACTCATTATGACTTCTTTTTCTTGATCTCAGGCTTTTGCTCATATACAGTATTTTCATTGTATTTTTAACACTTTTAGGCTACACTGGGACACTGAAAACTTCAGGATTCCCTGAAACTAATGTTCAGATTGTAATGTAATTGTCTTGGGATCAGAAAATAGTCTGTCTGACATCAGTTATTTGAAATTTGCTGAAACTTGCCCTAAGACCTGGTTTGTGATCATTTTTTATAACCATTCCATGAATAGCTGAAAATATACTTCTCTAATGGTTTAATGTATATTCATTTTTATTTTTACATAATAAATTAATATAAACTCAGAGGCTTAAAATGTCATCCATTTATTAATTCACTGTTTCTGTAAGTTGGGCATGGAATTGTTAATCTCATAAGACTGAAATCAAAGTGTACACCAGCAGTGTTTTCATTGCAGCTGAGGATCTTCTTCCAGGCTAATTCAAGTTGTCAGTATTTATCAGCTCTTTGTGGCTATAGAACTGATGCCCTCATATTCTTCCTGGTTGTTGATCTGTGGTTGCTCTCAGCACCTATAACCCACTCTGGTCCTAGCCATGGAGCCTTTCAAAGATAGGAGGTTACTTTTTCAAAACCAGCAGAAGAATCTTTCTCCCTAGTCTGGTAAGAAGGAGTCAGATACAATGATGGAAAGTGACTATCCCATCCTATTCACAGGTTCTGCACACACGCAAGAGGAGAGGGTTATATAGGGCATGTCATTTGGGGATTTTCTTAGAATTCTCTCCACCCTAAAAGGGTCTTCAACATTTTAATTGCATTATTCAAATTTATTTTTGTCTGCTTGACTTATTTTAATAAGTTGTATTATTTTGAATTTATCTCCTTGTAGTTCCAACCTTTTTTTCCTGCTTTATCTATTTTGAGGACATTTTATAAGGTATATGCAGTTAAGAATTATATTGACCCTCTAACTCTAATAAAGGATTTTGTCTTAAAAGTCTATTTTGTCTGATATTAATATAGAAAGCTGAACTTTCACTTTGTTAATATTTGCCATGTATATATATATATATATATATATATTTGACTCTTTATCCACCATGTGCCTTCTACTGAAGTTATGCATCAGTTATGTATTGCTGCTTAATATACTGCTCCAAAATTTCGTAGTATCCCAGCAATAATTTGATTTGCTCACTATTCTGTAGGTCAGCAATATGTGTTGAACTCAGTTCTTTTTCAGGGTTCATCTAGGATTATTCATATGATTAAAAGTTACCTGGAAGTTTGACTGGACTTAGATAGTTTGAGGTGCTCTTGCAGGCCTGGTGATTAGTATCAGCTGTTGATTGAGTCACTCTCCCTATATAGTCTCTTGGCTTCTCCAGTGGTGTTGCCATGTGAAGACGAAGAACAGAAGATGCAAGATCTTCTGAATACTAGGCTTGGGAATCCCATAGCTTACTTCTCCAGTTCCTTATTTTGATCAGTTATTAGCAAAGAGCAGCTGGGGTGCTTGGCCTCTGGGTAAATCTTATGGAGAACATAGGGATATGTCAATCAATAATGGTCTTCACAGTGTTTCTCTGAAGAGGAGGTGTGGCCAGTGCTCCTCCATGGTCACCATATAGATATGATTTACTACAATGATTAAAACATTTCAGACTTTTGCTATTAGTGAGCACACTTGTTATTGTCTTATATTTTGTGCTTTTAATGTTGGTGTTGTCCTCTCACGTGTATCATATGAAGGGTTCAAAACATGAAAAAAAATATGTACCTATTGAACATTAATTCACCAGTTTTTGTGATACTGGGATTGAATCCAGTGGGCTGCATTCCAGGCTTTTTAATTTTATTTTGAGACAGAGTCTCTCTAAGTGCCCAGAGTGGCCTTGAACTTGGGATTCTCCTGTCTTAGCCTCATGAGTAGCTGAGTAGGCACATGCTGTCACACCTGGCCATGAGTTCACCTTTTAAAAACCAATTGTCATAACCATTGGTCAGTTAACTTACAAAGAAAAAAATTAAATTTGTTTCTTGATTTAAAAAAAAACTTAACTACACTTTTCTTTTAAACAACTAACTCTAAATGGCAATCATTAACACAATGTAATACAACAACTAGCTTCTGCTTATTTTTCAGCTAAAGGGTATAGGCTTCAGAATAATAGTCATCCTAATTTTCTCCTTTCTGCATTACAGTCTACTGCCTCTCACTATTTGTTTTTCCTTTAGTTTTTAGCTGGGGATCTGGATGCCAAGAATGAAAATTGCTAACAAGTGCATAATGAAGTTTTGAAAAATGAGATATTGGTAAAAGTGATGTTTGTGACTTCCAGAAAGTATCTTTAAAGAGAAGATGAATGCTCATCTTCTCCTTTTCTCCTTTCAATTGGCTAAGATAGATAAGAGAATTGGAGCTGGAGTAGCCATCTTGGGTCACCAAGCAGTAATTAGGTGATAAGGTTGATGGGCCAGAAAGATAAAAGTAGCCCAGTGTTATCATTCAGTCTAGATCACTGGTCTGGACTTTGAGAAGACAGAAAAATAAAATTCTGTCCTACTTAAGTCATACTGTTTTGGGTTTTCACTAGCTAGCAAAGTTAATCCTAAATATTTTTCTTTTGTTTTTGTTTTTGCTGATCATTTTATCATTAAAATAAAGTGCTCTGAGAAGAACAGTATTATAAGAGGCAGCCAGTTAGCAAGATTAGTATGATGGACCTTTCCCAGCCTAAGGAAGGGGGACATAAAAACATTGATCAAAATTAAGGGCAAAAACCATCTCAGGCACAAAACATATATTTATTAAATACTTGTTAAATGAATGAATGAATGAATATATCAGGTGGCTGCATGTTTTTGGATCAAATGTACTACCTGTCTAGAAGGGAGATCCCCTCTTTCCTTTACTACTTTACCCAGTACCTGCTTACCTCTCAAGATCCAGCTCAACTGTGACTTTTCTGTCAAGCTTCCTCAGCTTCTCCAGCCAGGAGTAATGCTTGCTCCCTTGAGCCATACCTCTGATGTTATTGTGTTGAAGTGCTAAAGAAACACCCATGATCTTTCTTATTTGTATCCTTCATACCCTTACATGGTTTCTGAAATGATGGAGGAAAAACAAGGAAGAAATTCTTCTAAACAAACAAAATTACATAGAATTTTCCTCTGAAGATTTATTATTTTAAATTTAGGAAATTTATTAGCCAAGCTTCTCCAGAGAAATAGATCCAATAAAATGTGTATATTGGTAGTATCTAGTGATGCAGTGACATTGTAGCTGTCTTAATTTCTGTAAGTTTACTCTATAATTTTTGCACAATGATGAAATCACCTAAATGATGTGCCTCTCAGAATGTATCCTTATTGCTAAATGGCTCATGATTGTATATAAATGCATCTAATGTAAGTATGTATCTATAGAAAGATTTATTTTAAGGAAATGGCCATGCCATTTTGGAGGCTATCAAGTCTGAAACCTGTAGGGCAGGTAGGCAAGCTGGAGACACAAGAAAGAATTAATGTAGCAATCTATGCCCAAAGGCCACCTAGAGGCAGAATTCCTTCCTTGGGGAACTTTAGACTTTTCCCTTAAAATCTTCAGCTGAATGGATGAAACCAACCCATATTATGAATGGTAATCTACTAGAAGAAGTCTTTAAAAAATAACTCCACAGCAATACCTCCCCTAGTGTTTGACCAAAAACTGGGTACTGTGGCCTAACCAATTGGATACATAAAATTAATTAGCACAGGAAGCATAAAGAGAAATGAGAGGTTTTTGTATGGTTTGGTTTGGTTAGGTTAGATTTTCTGTTTGTTTGGTTTGATTTTGTTTTTTAGGTATCGAGAGAAGTGTGTTTTTAAAAATAGTTTTATGAGCAGGATATGGTAATGTACACTTGTAATCCTAGCTATTTAGGATGCTGAGGTAAGAGGATCATAAGTTGGGGTCCAGGCTGGGCAATTTAGTTAGTCTCTGTCTTAACATAAATGGAGGTGGGACCTCTCCAGCCCATCCCTCTCTTCAGCCGCTCCCTCCTCGCCCCCAGCGAGTGTGGTGAACCCCCCACGGCCGCGGGGCACGAGCCAGACTTGGGGACTGGGTTGGGGCGCCCGAGGGCTGCAGCTGTTCCCTTACTCCTCAAAGCCCTGTTTGGGCTGCCCCCTGCGGGGCCCAGCCATGGGCAAGGGTGACTGCGGGGCCGCGCCTTGGAGGCGACTGCTCAGATTCAAGATGACCAACGAAGAACCTCTTTCCAAAAAGGTTCGACTGAGTGAAACAGACTTCAAAGTTATGGCGCGAGATGAGTTAATTCTGAGATGGAAACAATATGAAGCATATGTTCAAGCTTTGGAGGCCAAGTACACAGATCTTAACTCAAATGATGTAACTGACTTATGGGAATCTGAAGAAAAGCTAAAGCAGCAACAGCAAGAGTCTGCATGTAGGGAAAACATCCTTGTAATGAGACTAGCAACCAAGGAACAAGAGATGCAAGAGTGTACTACTCCAATCCAGTACCTCAAGCAAGTCCAGCAGCCGAGTGTTGCCCAACTGAGATCAACAGTGGTGGACCCAGCAATCAACTTGTTTTTCCTGAAAATGAAAGGTGAACTGGAACAGACTAAAGACAAACGGGAACAAGTCCAAAATGAACTGAGTGCCTGGAAGTTTATCCCTGATACGTAAACAAATCATACTCCCCAGTCAAGACTTCCCTGACAGTCCCACTATGAGAAAGCCATGGTGGGACAGCCAAGTACTCATTTGCACACCAAGACTCAGACTTTTTGAGCGAAAAAAGAAAAAGCCACATTCTTATACTGTCCAGCTTCTAATGGTTAATGTAAAACTTAGCAGATGAACCTTGTGTTTCAGCTTTTTTCTCTTCCCCTTCCCTTTGCTTCAGAGGCCTGATGCCATCAGACTATTCCGAAGAAGAGGCCACCTTCGAAAAATTTCCCTTCTACAACATGTAGACACTTGAGAAATGTTTCTGTTTGAAGAAAATAGAGGGAGAAACAGAAGTCTTTAGTATGTGGCACACTGTGTCTTCAGACAGTTTGGAGGATTGAAAACCTAGAGATTTCAAATCATGAATTGAACATGTAAAATTCCAGTTAAATGTAAAAACGGAATATGCATCGCTCTTAACCTTCAGCATAGTGACTTAGAGACACTGTATATCAGTTTTGCCAATAAGACTGTGGGCTTCATGATTGTTGTTGAACTTCTGGGTCAAAACTCAAATGAGGTTAATTTTGCCTTTAAAGGGTTTATTTGCTAAGAACCAACTTGAATAGTCACAAAAGAAATAACAGATGTTGGTAAAGTAGTACATATATTTAACCATTTAGCTTTAGGGCTCTATATTACTTAATAGAGTCTAAATTAATATCGTTTTAATTAATGCTTTGTTCTTTGAATGGTTTCAAAAACTGTAGATAATCTTAACTAAGGACTGTACAAACATGAAGGAGTGGTATCAGATTTCAGGGTTAAACTGTTCAAAGCATTATAAACATTCATTTCACAACTAGATTGTATAAGGATATTGGCTGTGATGAGACTCACTACAAAATTTTTTTCAGAAATGAACTTTATGAAACCCTCATCTCATTCAACAGGCACATGTTAAAAGAGCATTGTCTTTGGTGTTAATGGGGGAATGTGTTCCTTCATTCTATTTGGGCCTTTTGTGTTCACACTTCTGATATTAAATTAAATGTGCCTTGAAATAAAAAAATAAAATAAAATAAAATAAATAAATGGGGGTGGAGATGTAGTTTACTGGTAGATGTCTTGCCTGCTGTGCAGTGAGGCCCTGAGTTCAATTCCTAGTACTATAAAAAATTATGTTCAGATAGTACTATTTAAATAACCTGCTAGAACATTTAAGTTTAGTATCCAGTACTGTAGCAAGTCACTATAAAGTCAGAAAAAAAATATTATTCATGAAACTGAGAGAGAAGTTTATGGTATCTAGAAATAGAATCAGATGTGTTTAGTAACTTCATGCTCATTATTGATGCTTTCTTTCATGATTAAAGAAAGTTCATTTCAGGGCCGGGGATTTAGCTCAGCAGTTTTGCCACCTGCTTTGCAAGCACAAGGACCCGAGTTCAATCCCCGGTACCAAAAAAAAAAAAGAAAGAAAGAAAGTTCATTTCATGTAGTATTGCCATGTAATTAAAATTAAGCTAACCTTATGTGAATCAAGAGCTCCAGGAGAAAAAAGCAAAAAGAACACACACATCAGCAGATTCATTTAAGGTTAAAAGTTTTTCAGTTTCATTAATAAAGAATTTAAGTGTCCCTCACAATGAAAGCAGTTCTACGGGGGAAATTCATAGCAGTGAATGCCCATATTAGGAAAACAGAGAGAACTCAGATAAATAACCTAATGCAGAACCTCAAGCTCCTAGAAAAAGAAGAGCACAACAAACCCAAAGCTGGTACGAGAGAGGAAATTATAAGTATCAGAGCAGAAATCAATGCAATGGAGACTAAGAGAATGATACAGAAAATTAATGAATCAAAGAATTGGGTTTTTTTAAAGAATAAATAAAACTGATAAACCTTTAGCCAACCTTATCATAAAAAGGAAAGAAAAGACTCAAATCCATGCAATTAAAAATAAAAAAGCTGAAGTCACAACAGACCCAGCGGAAGAAATCCAGAGGGTCATCAATACCTACTTAAAGAACCTGTACTCTAATAAAATGGAAAACACAGAAAAAATGGACAGATTCCTAGATAACATATGAATTGCCAAAGTTAAATGAAGAAGATACAGAAATTCTAAACACCCCAATAACAATGAGTAAAATTGAAAATGTAGTAAAAAATTTATGAACAAAAAAAAGCCCAGGTCCTGATGGTTTCACTGCTGAATTCTACAAGACATTTAAAAAAGAACTATCACCATTACTCTTTAAACTCATCAAGGAAATTGAAAGGGAAGCAACGCTTCCAAATTCATTCCTGGAAGCAAGTGTTACTTTGATCCCCAAACCAGGGAAAGACCCAACC